TGAATCTCATGCCCGTAGATCACGGCTCGTCTAGGGTGATGGGGGAGGAAGACGATGTGTGGCTTGAAGAAAGGCCTCGAGAAATTAGTCAGTACTACGACGACGGCCTTGACCAGATTATCACTGAATTGCATGGAGGCGGTGAGAGAGAGGACTTTGACGAGGCCGCCGAGGAGGCGGAATTGAGTCTTAGACGTGTTGCTGAAGAAGCTGGCTTGGATGAGCCACTCGACAAAGCAACCCTCGCAGCATTCGGGATCAGACAACTGAGGACGGAACACGTATTGCTGAAACGGCTGTTGATCGAGAGTGAAGATCGTGTCAAGGAACTGATGCAAGCCAACGACGAGATGGGCAGACGTGGAGAACAGATGAAGGGTAAAGTCACAGCCCTTGAAGGCGAAAAGGAAGCCATCAAACGCACCGTCACAGAAGCAGAAGAGAAAGCTAAGAAGCATTCCGAAGAGCTCGAGGTGCTCAAAGCGAAACTGGTAGAGATGGAAAAGCGCACCAGACAACTAGCCTCAGAGAAGGGCGAGCTAGGCCAGAAGAACCACGACCTCGAAGGTCGAGTTAAAGCTCTAGAAGGCGATAAATCATCCCTCCAGCGACTAGTCAACGACGTTAAGCGTCTCAACGAAACCCTTAAAATCCAGCACTCGGAAGAGGAAAAGCATGCCCAGTCCTTTGAAGAAGAAATCCTAGGCCTCCGCCGCCAACTCGCCGAGGAGAACGAGCACGTCGGTGTGATCGAGACCGAAACACTGTCCCTCCGACAGCAAATCGCAGAACTAGAAGAAACTGGCATCCTCCTAGAAAAGTGCAAAGAAGATCTCGAAACCCGTGTCAAGCGAATACCAACCTTGGAAAAGGAAATCCGTTTCCTGGAGTCCAAACTCGCAGACCTCGAGGCTGCCAGCAACGAAAAGGCACACGAAGACTTCGAGGCACTCTCTCGCCAAATGGAATCCCTAGAAGAAAAACTCCGCCTTGCAAACGATCAGCACCAAACCTCAACCTCTACAATAGCCCGCCTCGAACAAAACCTCTCCACCACTGAAGTCACCGTCCGTAAACTTACCAAGGAAAAGGAATCCCTAAAGAAAGACCTCGACAATGCTGCCCTGGAGTCCAAAGCCTCCCGCGTCCGCTTCGCCCAACTCCTCCACGACTCGGCGGAGAAGGAAGCGAAATGGAATGCCTCGCGACAAGCCCAGGACTCAGAGTCCCACCGCCAAGCGGCCGCGTTTGAAGACCTCATATCGGAAATCTACGACGCGGAGATACTCGCTCAGGCTGGCGGCGATAAGGTGGCCATGCTCCGCGAGGTTTTCGAGCGCAGGGGAAGGGCAGCGGATGAGGGCGAGGAAAAGACCAGAAAGTATAAGGCTGCGGCGAAGAAGTTGGCCAAAGAGTGCGAGAGGCATAAAGATAGAATTGAAGAGCTGGTGGCGGAGGTGAAGGAATTGGGACTGAAGTTGAAGGCAGAGAAGAAGAGCTGTGATGAGAAGATGGGGCAGTTGATTCTCGCGCTGAGGAGGGAGTAGATTGATGGGATGGTATGAAGGGGGAGGCGCTATCATCACCAAATGGTGTATCTTTTTATTTCCTTTTACCGTTTCTTTTTCCTTTTCATCATTGCACGATCGGAAGGGCTGGGGTGGGAATTGGAGTACGGGTTTTGCTTCCTTTTTTTTCTTTTTCTTTCTCCTTTTTCTCTTTTTTAACCATACCAGTGTTAATTCTTTTGAGTTGAACTTACTACTAGTATATATATATTCTAGTGTGTATTATTATGAAAAAAGGGAAAGAAGAAAAGAAGAAAAAAAACTTGAGGCCAGAGTGGAAGAGGAATATGGGAGTCTTCTTTTTTTCTCTCTCTCTCTTTCCCTTTGTCTTCTCTCTCTCCCTTTCTTTTCTTCTTGTCCGTCTTGTCATTACCATGAGGTTTTTACTGTAGGCCATTGAGATGATATGGGTATCGCGAGTTCAGGTACACAAATGACATGGACACGTTACCACGGTATGATACCGGCTGTGGGAGGTGTGATTTTGAGACTCCCCAGCTGGATGGTTGTTTCGACTCGGCCGCTGTGGAAAAATATACACTATGATGACCTGCTCGATATCTGATACCATAAGATATGCTCACCCTAGTAGAAGGAGGAAAAACCGACTCGAGCAGATATAGCGTAAATCGACCGACACAAGCCGGATCGGGATGGGCAAGAGCGGCCATCTACCGTAAATCGCTGTTGCTGTGGATGGAAGGGGTTGTTGTCTGCAGCTTGTCTTACTGGCTACGATAGTAAGAAACTCTCGTAACTTTGTCTATCATACTCGAGTATGATATTATGATATATAATAATATAAGAATATTATGATAATATTATGAAGAAATCTCTGCGTGGTAAAGCCATGACATCTACTAAACAGGAAATTCTGGAGGGTCAAAAACACATGAAAACCCAGATGATACCCTATCAACTACACTTGTATGGTATGACACTGTAGGGTACGGTATGATAATTGTCCGCCATCTCTGCCAGAAATCATCCAAGTTTGGGATTTTTATTTTTCTCCAATATGTGTGACAATTTCATGAGTCAGGTATGTATATGATACATCCATTATTACAGGTTGCCTTTGGAGAGTTCAATTATGTTGGCGGAAATGTTGGGATGTTATTGGCTAGCCAGATGAAGCGAAACGGAGCCAGTTCCCATGTCTACTACGGTAGTCGCTAGTAACACTAAAGAGAAGTGAATACCATCTTCTTAACTTTGGACGGCCTTAATAAGTATCAATTGACAGGGGCAGAACCATACCTCACTAGGAGGAGGTTCAATATGGGCCAGTGATTCCGTCGTGATCATACCAAAATTAGACTACCGTTAGCGGCCTTACCGATGTTTGCGGTTCTAGTATTAAGCTCACCACCCACCACCTTAGCTCTCGCCACACCAAATCCACCGTCACGGCGTCACCCCTGACCGACCAACACAAGCCCAGATCTGACCCGACAGCAGCCCACTCCAAAACCAATCCAAGACCCGGAAACTCGGTAGACCACCCCCATTCTCATCATGTAAGGGTTCACCAGCCATTCCCCTGCCAAGACCTCATCCTACACCATTCTGCAGAGAGAATATCATACCGTCAGCTCCTGCGGCTCAACAAAAAAAAAAGAAAAGAAAAAAAAGAACAACAATGAACTCACTCGCCGCCCCCCTGAAAATGAAGGTGAACGGGAAAAAAAGGTAAAAATTCAGCCCCTTTGGGGGAAAGGGATTGGCCCGTGCCTGATGTACCGGTATATATAAGCTGCCGGCTCCTTCGTAGGTATCATATCGTACAAAACGAGTGAGAAGTGAGAGAAAGGGAAAACTCAACCCTTATTCATGCATTGATAACGAGAAAAAGGAAAGAAGAGGAAAGAAATGTCAAGAACGAGTACCGGTACGAGTACTGGCAGACCTTGGGGAGCCAGCGTGGCCATGATAGTGAATGATTTCGGAGGTGCTTTTTGTATGGGTGTTTGTTATCCCTCCTTCTCCCTCACCCCTCTCTCCCTCACCGTGGCTAGCTAATCGAACGATAATCCATGATAGGCTATTGGTGGCGGCATCTGGCATGGTGCTCGAGCTCTCAGAAATGTTCATCACCATCCCCTACTGTCCTGCCCTGCCCTGCCCTGCCTTGACGCGGCTACTGACGACATGATAGGGCAACACCCCCCTCTCCATCCTCCAAACCATAAAATCCCGTGCGCCAATCTCCGGTGGAAGCTTTGGTATATGGGGCGGGGTCTATTCTGCGTTTGAATGCGGCTTGAAGGGTGTTAGGAACACAGAGGATCCCCTCAATGCCGGTCACTCACCCTCTCCCACTTTGGTAGAAATCAAAGTTGCTGACAGAATGTTAGTATTGTCCGGATTCCTGACTGGAGGAATGCTGGCGCTGCGTAGGGGCGCTAGAGCCGCGGGAGGGAGTGCGGTCGGGGGTGCAGCATTGTTGGCTGCTGTCGAAGGGGTTGGCGTTGGATTGGATAGGGCTGCGGTTTTGGGGGTGTTGGGTGGTGGTGCGGCGGCGGGAGGGCTGTTGAAGGAGGTGGTTGCGCCCGAGAACTTTACCTTTTGTTAGTTGGGCGGGGTCCGGAGATGATGGGTTGGGGGTTGATCTTTTGTTTCGCATGGGATTATACTTATAATAATTATCATAGATGGCACACCGGTAGATGATAGATGGATGGGGTCCTTATAGATTACCGTATAGGGAGCATTAGGCCTGTATTGTGTAATCTTAGATCATAATTTTTTGTAATTATCCCCGCACTGACGGCAGAAGAATCTGAGTATGATACTGCCTTGACTCCCCCATTAATCTTGAGCCAATGATGACAAACACTGCCCAAAGCCCAAGCCCGTCCATGCCTGTTTAGAGGGAGGAACTATAAACCCGGACCAACGCAGTCTTTGTTCACGAGATTCAGTAGGGTCGTAAATTTAAGTGGTCAATGACAGTTCTCACAAAATACTCAGTGAGTTCTCACATCTTCCGTCATGAGAGAAACATGAAGCAAACAAACAAACAAGGATGGGAGTTTGCTGTGTATCAGTCCTGGCGAAGGCAATACTGAAGCACCGTTCTGTTGTAGCGTTCACTATGACATCTGACGGGATCGTGGCTTTACCGGTACTACAGTATCATACACAGCACAGAAGTCTTTATCTCTTTACTCGAGTAGTCTACGCGGGCCAAGTCCCAAAGATTCGCGAACCTAGAAAAAAACTGTATTAGTCATCCACTTAACGCGTTCAACTTCGCGTCTCGTGTTCTCGCGTGTCAAACAGGGCTGATAATCATTTTGGCGGCCAGCTCTCTCAACACCAACATAACCTCCCACGCACGCTGCTAAGCATACTGGAGGGGCCACCGCTACCACTACCTCAATCTCTTCGTCAACCCTTCCTCAACCAGCGTCAGCCGAAAGCTCCACCATGCCCAAAAAATCTCCCCCTCCCACCGGTGGTCCCGTGGATGACCCACTCGCGTCCCTCCTTTCTTCCCTCCTGCCCACTACCCTCTCCCTGAAGCTCTATCACATCTCCACCCCAACTTCACGGTACTTTCCCCTCTTTAGCTCACCGCCGAACCAAGACCCACACCGAACCACCCTCGAATCGCACTTCCTTGTGTTGTCCCATGAAAACGTCCTGGTCTTCGCGATAGAAGTCCTGATCTACACCGTCCCCAAGCAACACGCTCGCACCTTCTTCATCTCGAAAGCCGACAGCAGTGGCTACCTCCCTTCAAACATCTCCTCCTTCGCCACTGAAACGGGAGAGCGAAAGTCCACGTTGCGCACCATTTCAACTGCTTTCATCAAGTACCTTTTTGACGCTGCGAGGAGGGCAGATCCGCACTTGACGGCTACGATATCCCTCTTTGCAAGGAGCCAATCGCAGTACTTGTTTCCGAATTCGGCAGAGAATAGCAAGAAGCATGTTCTGACGGACCGGGGATTGATTGCCTGGTGGGGGAAGGTGCTCGACCCCGTGTTGCAGGAATATGCGTCGAGCGGCGGAAGGGGCTACCTGCTCGTTCCCGGATCCGATGCGGGACAGACTCGGTCCATGATCCCCAGTGTTGCGGAGGGCGGGGTGAAATGGATTAATGGACACCCATTCAAGCTAAATCTTGACAACGACATCTCCGTCCGAGAGGTGATACCGCACTTCCCGGACGACCCCAAGGCGAGGTATTTGGATGAGTTGAATGGTGTGGCCGGGTCTAAGGATGCTGGCATTGGCGGAGGCGGGAAGGTTAAGGAGCGTGCAGCGGGTTGGAGGGATATCAAAACGATCGATCAGTTCTGGGAATTGATGAGTTTTCGGCAGGAGTGCTCGCTTGGTCGGTGTGTTGGATTCTTATGGATTGTTGTTGAGGGGGTCAAGAAGGAGCGGAAGATGACTGCTACTGGCCTGAGCGGGGAAGGCATTCCAGAAGATGAGGTTGTGCTTTCACCCATTTCTGCTACTGGCCCGACCTTCTCGGAGAACATCCTCGGCGCGGCCGCTACCGCCAGCAACAGCAGTCAGGAGATATCACCAACAGAGAGTGTTGGCCCTCTTGACTTTACCACTACCTCCATACCCCCACCAACGGAAACGCCGACACCAGCGTCAACCCCTCCTTCCCCAGCTTCCCCACGAAAGCGCCGCTCCTCCTCTACCACCTCCTTCCAACCTTCAAAAAAGAAGCTTCGAGCGCTAAGCTTTTCACCCGCCCCATCTTCTGCCACCGCACCACTTATCCCCCCGCTCCTGGCACTCGACGAAAAAGCGTACGTTAGGACCATTGATAGCCTACTAAACCATTCTGATTTTGGCGATATAGAGAGTGCAAAGAGGGGGACTAGAAAATGGATTGAGAGCGTGCAGCCTGGCGTTGCGGAGAAGGGGGATTGGGGAGTTGATGTTGTCGGGCTAGTGAAGGTGGTGGAGAATGGCAGGGGGGAGAATGGGAATGGGGCTGGGGCCGGAGGTGTAGCGGTGAATACACTCTCCGCGGGACTAGTTAGGAGGAAAAGCAGCACTCCAGGCAATGGCGTGAACCTCCTCGACGCTGGACTGGTGAGGAAGAAGTCGAAAGCTGCGGATGAGAAATTACCAGGTGTGACGGAGGAACAGGAGCGGAATGGCGTGAATGTGCTCTCCGGGGGCCTCCTTCGGCGGGGACCGAAGTCGCGGGAGGGTGCGAAGGGGGAGGAGACTCACGTCAATGCTCTCCCGACGAATCTTGTCCGGAAGAAGCCGAAGGTTGGTGAATGAGTGGGCGAGTAATTTGGTTTGTGACCGGTGATGGGAACAAGCTGGGTAGGAATGCGGGTTTTTTGCTCTTGCTACTTTTTTTTTTTTTTTTTTAATTGCTAGGGATGCTTTTATGTGGGATTGTTGTGCGGTCTAGCCATGTAGATGGGTGTTTTGGTTATATTCTGTTGTGATGATCGCGGTCTGGGGGTGGGGTATGGATAGGGCATATGGGGTGGGGGGGGGTTAAGGGATTAGGGTGTTTTTTTCCTATCATAATATTATATATCCAATTGGCGCAATTGATAAAAAAAATGATATCACGATTGCTCTTATGGTATGATACCTATTTCGTTTTTGGAATGATTATCGAATGGTTTATCAATCATGAGATATCACTCGATGATTCCTCACCATCTACCGTCCGCAGAGTTATTTGCAGTATAACTCGGCCTATCCACGTATTACGAGTAAAGTCCGGACGGGACAATGACAGCGGCCGAACGATGTTTGTCATCATGTCAGTAACAAGCCCTCCCATACCACCGCTTCTCATGACCAATCCCTCACGTCCTTTCGCGAGATGGAATTCCTCCACAAGGTTAGATACCTAGGTCTGTCCATCAGTCCGTCAAATTCCTCTTCCCCCCCCTCCCCTCCCGGCGGTTCGCTACGGTAGTACTCCGGACGAGAATCGGGGATAAAAAGAGAGTAAACCAAAAAGTCTCGGGCGTTAAGAGCCGATGCCGTGATCTACCTTTTGAAGGTTGGGCGCGCGATCGTATCACAGATATGCCCCGTTCGGCAGGTCTGTTCCCCGCATGGGTTTTTGTCTTTGCGATATCAACGTGGGTATCATATTCTTCTTTGTATCATAACGGGGACTTTTTTTTCGCGAATGGAACGAGGAAGTCGATTGTGGGCTGTACTTCCGTGGGAGATTTGATCGGTCTCAACTTTCACTCCCGCCTGCGTGTCTGGCGTGGTTTACCGATCCTGGACTTGTCGTGATAATAGCAGAGTTTTCGGCAGCAATGTTGGGTCCGGCGCAGGTCCTTCCGTCTTCCCACTTGTGGGGTTTGGGGGGAAATATTGAGGATAAAACATGGCAAGTGATCGAGCCTCTCAGCTCCGCCTTGACCGTCCAACCGAGATCTCTTCTTGGGAGTGGCAATGATGATGGACTGAGCATATATAGCTTTTTATAGAAGAACTCTTAGAGCTTGATTCAATTCGCTCAAGTAGGGAGGGAGAGAGAGAGAGAAAAAACCCCCCCAAAAATGTCCATGTTTACCCGAGGAGATTGGCCCGGCGTTGTATCAAGGCCAACAGGCCTTATTCCAACTACGATAGGATCTCGAACCAACAATTAAATCCCGGAAGCTTACAGAATTTGAAGGAAAATTTCTTAGAGAGGCTAACCTATGATACCCACTTTCACTTTTTCATAATCAAGTAGGAATACAACTGACTCGAGAAATCCCCGATTCGATCCATGCAGAGCAGAGCTATCCCTACCCGACCACGACGAGGTCCCGCCATCGGTGCGATCGGCCATGACGGTATGATACTAGTATATACAGTTGTAAGACGGAGTCTTGCCAAGATGAATACGGAACGGCCTGCTTAGAGGCGTTACATTCCAGCACGACCAAGAGCACGATACCATATACCTGTTCTGCGGCGCCAGGAAAGTAAATACATTGAAGCCCTCGTGACATGTCGTGTCGTACGTCTGGCGGGACCAACTTGAGACGTTACGGGGGGGCCAAACTCGATTTTCCCACTTCTCTGCTACCGATATCGTATGGCATTTACTAGCTATATGATATCACTTACCTTTCCTTTCCTGAAACAAACCGCGAAGATTACTTTTCCCCATAAGGAACCCCGAAACCCCGATTGCGATATACGGTAAGCTTACGCTGATAATATCAGTCAGTTCTGCCGTGAATGCATCTTAATCCATCGGGGCTTCCGGGATTATAAGTACGAGTACGATATTAGTGTAAATTCAAGTATGGTGAGAATATTCAGCGGGCGGGCGGTTGTATCATAAAGCGCACCGCGGGTGCGGTCATCTTTCCCTTTTATGATACTGGAAAAGGTAAAAGGTTATATACTCTTGATGGATGGCTCCTCCCCGCCGGAATTGTTCCTTTCTCTCCATGTTTGCGGCGCTGGTTGAGAAGAAGGGGTATTCGTAGTAATAGCAGTAGTCACCGGAGGTGGTGTATACGGTATCTTTTTCCTGTGGTACTTTGGAAGTGAAGATTCGATCCTCGGAAATTTGGGGATACTGAAATTCCTTTTCCATTAGGAAAATTTTTTCTTTTATTTTTGCTCTCGGTAGGTGAAACTAGCCTCTCTAGACACGGAATCTTCTCTATCTTTCTTCCGAATTTCACAATAGGAACCCGGAGTAAGGCGGTATACGTCCTGAAACATACTCGAGAAATTGACCTTCTGATCTATAAAATCCGTTAAACAGGTAGAATCCCCCGAGGGGGAGGGAAGCTGCAAGAGGAAAAACAGGAGGATATTCAGCACCTACAAACACGATGGAGATTGGCTTGGTGGGTGAATACGTGCCTTTGAGTGCGGTGACCTTGTCAGCAATAGTGTTAGGGAGTGGCAGATATATCAAGAGAAATGATACGCTCGAGACGTGAATCCACAAACACGGATTAGTATCACTGCTAACAATTCACACCGGACATGCCTTGGTAAAAGAAGGCTAATTTACAAAGAGATCAATGGTGGCAGTGTGGTTTAATGGCAAATAATCACCCTCGAGTGCCGGTTCAGTCGTGTTTGTATCATACTATGATAGCGAGTCTGTATAGCGTTTAGAATTTACATACAACTTGAACTGCGGTCACATAGATCAGGGGAGGAGGAAAAGGTATAGTACCAAGAAATAAACCAAAAAATCATACCGCCGATCACTGACCACTTTCCCCCAGGGTCCAGGTCCAGAGTCGGATTCTACCACCCCAACCTCCCACTTCCGATAGTGCGGGGAGCTTTTTCAACTCTCCCGCTCTAACGTGACGGATCATTCAATAACAACTCATTCCCGAGCGGGAATTCAACTCCTGAGCTCCTGCCAAGTGCACAGGGGGGGTTAACTGGTTCTCGACATATTAACCACTGTGCCAACTAGCCATTTCACGAAATATCACCACGGGAACAAATACCTATCCCGCTAGCATGACACTAATAAGGAATCCGACGGCGTAGTCCGGATGGCTTGATTATTGCAAGCATGACAATGTGGCGGGGGCGCATACTAAGCAATCCTGTGGGAATATAGATCACTGAGCTAGCTCTAGTACAATTCTTTGGCTTTTCCCGGGGGGGGGGTTCAGTTGCGATAGGGATCACAGCGAACGGGATGGGGATAGGGGATGTGGATTTCCGTGTATTATGATGTTTTGACTTGAGATCACCTTTTCGAGAGCGCTGTTCTAAACCTTTTTTTTTTAATCCGGGCATCACGAGCACATTTCACCCCCCTCAGAGCAGAGGAACATTGAGGGAATGAGAACTTGTGATTAGTCTGTAGTTTCACTCTCACTTTCAAAGAAGTAGTGAAGAGCCCCCCCCCCCCAGTAAGGTCAAAAGAAACCGGCGGGCAGGAATCACTCCGATTAGTTATGAAAAGCGAACGCACGAGCATTCAAACCCCGCAGTTGCACCACTTATTATATCCACCTCCATCGTCCAAACTCCCCAAGCTCATCGCAGCACGATGCCCCTTCACGGAAGCCGACGAAGCG